CTCTTTGTTGCACTCATTTATGAGTCTGCTGCTTTTTCGCCTTCATTTTTTTCCACATTCCCCTCTTTTAACCCCATCTCTGTGCAGTCTGGATTGTTGATTAATACTGCAGCCGTTGGATAACAAACTTTAATCAACCACTGCGAAGTGAATCTCTTGGTTTTCCGTTTATATTTCCTCTAATATTCTCAATTTCCCCCTCTGCTGCTTGCATACCAAGTTATTTATGTGTGTGTGTGTACGTGCAGCATGTGGACAGAGATGATGTACGCATACGTGTTAAAATTGTAGAGAGGGTGATGCTCTGTTGGAAGGCAGCGCGTTCATTTAGCAAGTGCCTAATGCTGTGGGTGCTGTGACTGACTGAACACTAGAGAGGAAGCAGCCAAGCACTCGGCTCGGCTGCCAGAGTGCCGGCATGGGAGCACCGGGGTGGAGGAATCGCTTTTGTGCCCTCGTCCACTGGGAACACTCTCCAGAGATTTAGCTGTGAGTTTACACCCTGCCTACTTGACTGTATGCCTGCCCAAGTATCTCGTCACTGGGGAGATAGAGAGGGCTTTGAGAATTCCCACCATCCTTCCTTGCTTTGGTCTTAGATGTAAGTAGTTGTAGCTGATGAAAAGTGGCATTTGCTTTACAGCAAAAGGTCTTCCAGGTCATGCGCGTTTGCTTTTATTGTTTTCTTTTCTCTTTGTTTGCAATTCCTTAAGCTTTATCCAGTGTAGATGTTTGTGTATGCACAATGCACTGCAGTAAAAGTAACATCAGGCCCTTCTCCTGTTCCAGTCAAAGTTGCGTTGATGGCAGCTTCCTCAGTTCCCGTTGCCAGCAGACCGGTTTTAATTAGCGGGACATTCCGGAGAGTAAGTTAGCGACCGAGTGAGGGAGTGAAGTGAGCGTTAGTGACAGTCTTTCCCAGCTGATATTGATAAAGAAGAAGAAGAGAGGCTTTGATTCTGCTCTTCACTAAGCCCAGGAGAGCGTGGATCGCAACGGCGATAGCATAGTTGAAAAACGAGCAGCAGTTGGAGGAGAGGCCTCGCCGCACTAATGCACATTTTTATTATGTTAACAGACCGTGTCTTAGACTTCAAATTAAAAGCTGAGTTGTAATCACTGGCTCATCAAGTGGTTTTAATCTGTAGACTAGTAGTTTCAGGAGATATCCTGTGTTTGGGGATGGAAATCATTGCCTGCTTTGAGACTTGTTCTCTCTCTGCTTCAAAATGAAAGCTAAATCCTAATGAAATCTCAGTAATTTGAACTCCATAACAACTCAAGTTGTGATCTGGTTTTAATTAATTTTATTATTTCATTTCACGTCAAATGACTTTACAGATATGTAGTTTGTAGTACACAAAAGTCCTGAATTACACCTGTGCGTCTGTAGATTGACAGTGATGAGTGCCAAACCCGCGGTGAAGCATTTCTATAACTCGTTGTAGTTTTATGAAAGGTAAAGGTAATCTGCCCTCTCCGTACAGCCTAGCAGGCGTGCTTGTGGGGATGGACCTCTCATTTGCTATATCGTGTCCAGCTGTCAGCTCAAATCAAAGAAGAATCGGTGCATATTGCTCTTGACTTTAGAATACTGCATTCTTCCTGCCACAGTATATGCTGGTAGCTGCTCACACTGCCCCTGCAAATGTCAGAGCGCACTGGCTTTGTTCTTTTCCTCACTCATCCACCCTCAGACATGGCATAAGTGCCACAAGTTTTACTCTAGTGTGTGTTCTGTCTTTCTCTTATAGTTGTGATGACAAATGTACTCGGAGGTTACTAGACTGTCAGCTTCACTCTTTGTGGTGTGTGGTGTATGTCTTCTCTCTTGTCTACAGCCACCAGTTCCACAAAGCTTGAAGACCTGAGCTTCTTGATGAACAGCGCAATACCCCCCTCCGGACATCCATTCGCCTACCCTGGCATAATACAGGAGGAAGGCCCCTCAGGACCTAAAGGTGACTGGGCTATTCATACTACTGCTGTAGGCACTCAGGGGAGATATTTGTAAAATAAACGTGTAAAATATCGCAGTACATAGGATAATGTTATGTGGTATGACTCTGAAAAACCCTGAAGTTAATAGGCAGCCAACGGTAGTTCTGAAGTTTCCAAAGTACCACGTCTGAGTGCAGAGCCAACAACAAAACTGTGCAAATACTTGAACACTGCAATGTAAACAATGCAGCACTTATGGGTATTAACATTATCCTCAAAAGCCTTTTTTGGCTTTTAAATCATGCCTTTTTCCCAGCTAACTTTATCTTGGTTATGTGTTTTGAATCCTCTGAGAGATCCTGCAGATTAAATATTTCATGGGAACATGAATTACTGAATAAGTCATCACTGGATATATACTCAGACTATTTAGTCTTCCTTTTGAAAATGTCCTCTTTCATTTTCACTCAGTCTCAAACATGAAGCTGATACATAAGCATATGGTCAGTGGTTCTGAGCAGGTTTTTTCTACATGAATTCGTACATACGCAACAATCTTAAACAATTGGATTCTTTTCTATAAATTTTATGGGAGATTCAGTTCAACTCAATTCAGTATTATTTATGCAGCGCCAAATCACAACAACAGTCGCATCAAGGCACTTTATACTGTAAGGTAGACCCTACAATAACGCATACAGATGAAAACCCAACAATCATATGACCCTCTATGAGCAAGCACTTTGGAAATAGTGGGAAGGAAAAACTCCCTTTTATCAGAACAAACCTCTGGCAGAACCAGGCTCAGGGAGGGGCGGGCCATCTGTAGCAACCGGTTGGAGAGAGAGAAGGAAGACAGGATAACATACATGCTGTTGAAGAGAGCCAGAGATTAATAACAAGTATGATTCAGTGCAGAGAGGTCTATTAACACATCTTGAGGGAGAAAGGTGACTGAAGAAGAAATATTCAATGCATCATGGGAATCCCCCAGCAGCCTACACCTATTGCAGCATACCTAAGGGAGGATTCAGGGTCAGCTGATCCAGCCCTATCTATATGATTTATGGTATTTGGTTTTTCAGATTTGGGTGTGATGGCACCACCTTTACCTAAATTTTGCAACAGTAGGTCAACATTTCAGTGCAGTTCATTGCAGTTGTATTCATATATTGCAAAAATCCCAACATGTGCCATCTTAGGAAACTCAACCTAGTACGCTGAGGACCTTACAGTTCTGATTTGAGCAACATTTAGTGACTTCCTTTTTGACTGGGCGAACCCTCCGACAGAACTAGACTCGGGATGAGCAGCACTCGTTTGATTGCCATGAGAGGAGAGTGAAAAGAAAGGGGGAAAAAAGATGAGAAGGAGAAAAGCTTCAACTGTGGGAGAGAGAATACACAAACTGACATGCATGAACAATGAAATGGAGAAGAGGTGAGGATGTCGTGCACCATGTGAGGCCTCCTGAAAGCAAAGGCCTGTCGCAGCATAATAAGTAAGGGGTGATTCAGACGTTAGCTGAGCGAGCTTTAACTATAAATCTATGAAAGGTTTTGAGGCTAATCTTAAAATTAGAGATTGGGTTTGGCTCCCAACCCTAAACAGCCAGCTGGTTCCACAGGAGCGAAGCAGCTTTAGCCTCTGCTTGTCATTCCGGCTTAGGATACTGAAAAAGCAAGTCATGGTCATTAGGGGCTTTATATTCAAGAAGATGGATTTGAAATCTAAGGGGATCCAATAAAGAGAGGTTAATAAAAGATAACTCTTTTCTAGTTCCCGTCGATACTCCTTTTGCTCAAGTTAGAGTTTTTCAAACACTGTACTTATTTGCTGGTATAGTAGAAGGTGGTGATCATTTCAAGTGTCTCAGAACCAGCTCGTTCGCTTTTTGGTTTCATTGTAGGGCACTAGAAACATAAACAGACCTACACCTGCCAATATAAACACTCTCAACTGCCCCTCCAATTACAATAGGCTTTTGTGAACACAGGCAAACTCGCAAGGTGAAAAACACTAGCAGCTAACAGCAGTGATAGTTGTAATGTTGAAAGGTGCATTAGCACTAAAGGTAGCAGTCATTTAGTGATGTTAGTTAACAAGTGTTATGAGATCTAATTAGTGCTGAAGTAGACCAGATAAGAGTCCTCTTTCAGGTCTTCACTCTGATTCCACTTAAAAATGTATCCTCTACAGTGTTCAGGGTTTTTCATGTATGTGGCTCCTTCTGGGAAGAAGAATGCGGGAGATGCTCAAAGCATGTTTGTAGGTTAACTGCAACGGAAAACGATTTATTACAGTAAAGTTTCCAGCATTTAAAAGAAGTAATCATTTGTTAACTTCCCGGAGACATGGGGAAAAAAATAGAAGTAGTGTAAACAATTTTAATCTGTTTCATTTCTTTTCCCGTTTCCTTCAGCGCGTTTTGCTCCCTACAAACCCGTGGACATCATGCTCAAACCTTTGCTGTTCGAGGTTCCCAGCATCACCACAGATTCTGTGTTTGTGGGCCGAGATTGGCTCTTTCAGCATCTGGAAGATGTCCTGAAGGCCGGCGAGTCCACAGAGAACCACGGTGCTGTGGTGGTGGGCAGCGTGGGGTATGGAAGACGGCCATCATCTCCCGACTTGTGGCGCTGAGCTGCCATAGAGGACGCATGCGTCAGATCGCCTCCAACAGTCCCAGCGCCTCCCTGAAAAGTAATTAGTTTTAGTATTTGCCTTTGGATGTGAGCACTACATTAACTGCTCGTGTTTAGCTAATGTTATTATAATTTCATTTCAACATTAGCTTGCAAAGTGTGGGAGGGAAGTAATTATATATTCGTTGGCAATATAAAATCAAGTTGACTAATATTACATTTACCTTACAAAAGAATGCCCTCACACACAACTAATGTTATTAATGCTAGCATATACATATATAGAGAGATGTTAGTTTATATTAATGTAATAACTTTATATATTGGTGACCATGTGCATGTCTTCCAGCTGGCCCAGGACAAAGCACAGAACTTCCTCTCAGCCAGCCTCCACAGCCCACTCCACATCCAGTGCTGCCAACACACTGAGGACCAGCAGTTGCCCAGGAACTCCCGAGATGCAGCGGCACAGGGAGGAGGCTGTCAAACGCCTGGCTGCAAAGGTGCGCCTTTCAACATCTAAGAGAGCTCACAGTAACAAAGAAGCAGGAATCAAAGAAGCTGAAAAAAGATTGCACTAGTTATGGTGGTGTTTACTCAGGGAAAAAATGTTTGGTGTGTGCACTGGATCAAAAAAAGTAATTTTAACAATTTTCAACAGTGAGTAGATTATTTTTGTTTTTGATGGATGGATTTGTTGTTTCTTCCTTTCTTTTTAAAAAAAAAAAAAAAAAAAAGGAAAAAGAAGGAAAATCGACCAAAAAGCATCTCAGGTTTTACCAAGTACTTCTACAACAGCTTCAGTCTGACTTCTGAAAACTCCTCTTTAATAGTGACCACAGATAATTGTGATATATTCTGTTGAATGATGCATAAAATTATACATAACAATAAGGGTAGGTTGCAGTTTACTAGTCAGTGATTAGAACCTCCTCAGGGAGCAACAACCCACAGCGAGCCCTGTCAGCCATGACCTGAGAGCACAGAATGTAAACACACACCAACGTCAAACAGAGCCAGCTTCATCAATATTAGACGTCATTTAGGAATTTACAAACATCAACACACGTTTCAAATAGCAACACCATTTATCTAGGCGGCTATCAGTTATACCGACATGTATGGCACTACTACTGCTTAATTACTGGTTGGTATCCGTTCCTGTGTCAACTTCAAATAGGTGCTTAAATATATTGTAAGGCCGCCTGTTCAAGTGTTGAACTGGGATGTTTGAACATGATAAGGATCCTCAAAATTCCATGAAGCGGAGCAACACTGACTACTGAGGACAGTGCTTACTTTTTTGACAGATGAATATTCCATCTGTTGATTTTTCTGGCGTTACAAGGATCGCAAAATAAAGTCTAAATACTGCCTCTCTGGGAAGTTTACGTGTCAGCGCTGTTGAGCAGAAGATTAAGTGTTTTCTTGTATAAGCTTGTCAACATTTTTCACAAGATATAAAGTACTGCACGGTAACAGCTTTACATGTGTTCTGTTACTCCCCCACACCGTCAGTAACATTGTTAACCACTTGTCTGTGACCGAACCCCCCCCCCCCAAACATGCATACCAGACACTGAGCATATTTCTGCACATCTTTCTCTTTCAGACTTGTGAAGTGGACAGACAAGTCCTCGATGTTTCACTTTAAAATGTTCCTCTCTCGATGCACGCCGACTAAGCAGTGTGCAGTTTTTGCCTACGACTCTTTTATTTTAGTTTTGGAATTGTTCGCTCTGTTTCCACTGAAATTTCTCTGTCGATTTTTCACTCCCGCATCTTTACTCGCACCACCTCTTCTTGTGTTGCTGAGGGTTCAGTCACATAGCAGGTGCACGTTCACTACATTTTGGAAATACTGCTTGCTAAAAGCACCATTTGATGACTTTGGCACTGCTATTGCCTTGTAGCAGGTCTAATAAAGATGATTGGGGGCCACCGGGATTCAGAGAAGATTTGTGATCCACTGTTGTAGTCAGTTGAGTTGAATAGTGCTGTGATGGTAGGTTGTAAGGTAATTTAATAGGTGGCAGCTTTGTGAAGGACTTTCTCAGTGGATGTGACGTCTCCTACTGATTCTGCTGCGTTTAATGGTACTGATTACAACCTGTTGTCCTTCTAACACCTTTAGAATTTAATACTCTTATCCTGTCAGGGAGGCCTCCTAATTAGTGACCCTGTCAAAGGGGACAGTTCATGCACCAGACAGCTAGGGTAATGCAGTGAGCTTCATGTAAATGTCTGTGAAACTCAAGCAGTATCTCTTGAGCCAATTATGGTGAAAAGTGTTTCCAATAGGCGCCTTCACAGGGGCTCTGTTCCTGTGATGTGTGATGCAACGCTGAGCAGCTTCTGTCAGATTCTGCCAGTGCTTTTTAATCATTGATTTAAAAGTGGTCTCATAACAGGAGCACTGAGGCTACTACCCTTTCTGCTTTATTCTTATTATCGAGACGTGCCTTTAGGTAACATTTCTGAAAATGCATTTATTGTTTTGCCAGCAGATGAGCTACCGAGGTTTGACTGCAGAGCCTTGCATCATCGTGTGTCGAGATTCGTATTGCTCATTGATGAGGCGGTAGTCTGCGTGACTTGTATGCTAAATTAAATCATCACTGCAGTAGGGGGCTTATTAAGAGTTGTGTTCATGCACACAGCAGGTTACTTGACTTTGTACAATAATAGGCATTCAATATATCAGTTTCCCTCTTTGTTATGTCACATTTGTGATGAAGCTCAAAAAACGCGTGACGCAAAAATGACAGAAAGGAGTGTTCGGACTTCTCTCAGACGTTTGCTGCTTTTAGGCTAAAGCATAACATCAGAGAAAAATTCTGGTGGTCGTGATTTTGACAGTTTCTGGAGAAGATGTGAATCAGTGGTTGTGTTATTGTTTCAGTTGGTCCATCTTCTGACTGGATGTCACATGTTTTCCTTACTAAAGATGGGTTATATACATCCAGGGAGTTCAGCTATAATTTTTAAAATCTTACCTCCCTCTTTTCTAATTTGCACTAGCTTTAATTGTGCCTTTATTGGCATGTGAGTTATATGTTATTATTTGAAAAAGAAAGAACCATAAATATGCATTTAGATCTGTGCTGTGGGGAGAAGTTTGGGTCCAAAACATTTATTGATGCTAAATGTTAAAAACAAAAGTCTCATATCTTGAGGCTTTAGTCATTTTTCTAGAAGCTGGTCATCGGTTTTCTGTGGAGAACTAAACAGCAACAGCTGAGGTTGAGCCGTCAGAGGAACCGATCACCTGCTCCTCCTCCTGTGGGCCTGGAAGTGTGTCAGCTCCTCCAGGTTGGACTGTAATTAGTACAGTCATCTTCCTTCTTCTCCACCTCTGTCCCTACATTTTCCTTTTAAATCAGACCTCCTTTGAATGCTGCGGAAACCTGCTCAGGTACAGAAGATTCTACCTTTAGATATCCACCTGGGATCTACTCACTTCTTTTTATAGCTTTTCATCCGTTGCCCAATCTCTTCATCATCCCTTCTGTGTGAAATAATGAAAGGATAAAATCATGTCTTTGACATTGTAGAGATAATATGTAGTTTTATGGAGGCTTGTTGGTATCAAAAGCCTCACTTACTTACTTTGTCATGGTAGTTTTTCAGTCACCAGAGATCTTGGTGTTTGTAAACGCTTTAAAGTTATCAAATGTACCCATCAGTCAGTGAATCATATTTTTAATTCTTCCTGATTCTCAAAAAGCAATGGCTTCACTCGCGTTTGTTCTCGTTCCTTTGTCTTCCAGGTGGTGGCTTATCATTATTGCCAGGCAGATAACACGTACACTTGCTTGGTCCCAGAATTTGTGCACAGCATCGCAGCCCTTCTGTGCAGAGCTCATCAACTGAGTGCGTACCGGGAGCTGTTGCTGAAAGAGCCCCACCTCCAGAGCATGCTCAGTCTGCGCTCCTGTGTCCAAGACCCCATGGCTGCTTTCCGGAGAGGAGTCCTGGAACCGTTGGCCAACCTTCGGAAAGGTAAAACACTGTAGTTGTATATTGCACTATTTCATTTTCATCGTGTATGAGACCACTAATCTCATTTCATAGTATTTTAATATTTAGTTTATTTGTAAATGTCTTTGCAGAGCGAAGGATTCCAGAGGAAGATTACATAATCTTAATAGACGGGCTGAATGAAGCGGAGTTCCACAAACCAGACTATGGAGACACCATTGCATCCTTCATCACAAAAATCATTGCCAAGTTCCCCTCCTGGCTAAAACTGGTTGTCACTGTTCGAATCAACTTGGTGGTAAGAAAGAACTTATAAAGCATGGCTCTGAGTTCACTCAGATGACAAAATATTCACTGTTATAATCACCTCGAGTCAGAATTACAGATGTCACATTATACTGGTGATGAGTTTTAGTTTTAAAAAGTTTATCACTCTTTCTTCCCTCTCGGTAACTACTCGGCTTATCCGCACACTTTACGGCTGATTAAAGTAACTACTGCTAATGGCATTCACTCTTCTGTTGCTGCAGCTGCTTCTCTCACACACTCAGAGACTCGCTTCCCACAATGAACTCACACAGGTGCAGTTTGGCTGTTACACTGTTGAGTGAAGTACTGGATACAGGCAAGCTGTTAAGGGCTTGATTCTTAACTTAATTACCAGTTTCGTGTCTGCTCTTATCCTCTACTATCTGCTTTCCAAGCGCTCTGAGCTGAAGCTTATCAAAAAGTTTGAACACTCAAGACTTCTGTTGTTATATTTTTTTATACAAATTGAATGAAATTTGCACAGGCTGGTTTAACTAAGCATCTTTAACTAAGTGCTTTTACAGTCTTACCTTTTAATATATTTTAATGTTATTAGTGCTAGTTTTCACTTACTTAATATACTGTATTTTTCGGACCATAAGGCGCACCGGATTATAAGGCGCATTAAGCGAAACAAAACAGTCAGATAAGTCAACTCATTTTTCTTGCTTCCTCCAATCCACATTGATTCATAAATGCTGAATTCTCTTGCAGCTGCTCTATTCCCATGTTGTTGCAGCATATTAATGACTAACCTTTGTATTGTGGATGGATTACCTCAGTTGTTCTCCTGATTGAAGTTTGGTCCGTTTACAGCATCCCGCCATGCGATTGCATTTGTCCCTAACCCTCGGGAACCCTCACATTAACTTTTATGAGTGAAAAAAAGTTAGCCTTCATCCTCTAGCTTCACTGTGTTTATGTTATGCTAACATAGCTGTGTCGCTAGCATATCATTTTATACCAGCTAGCCAAGCTTCAGTAACCCTATAAATGTCACTGCTGTTTAGTTTTCTGTCTTCATTTATGTCGAAAGGGACGGCAGAGCTGTACATTTAAATTTTTTCAGAAATCTCTTAGTCATGTATATCATGTTTAGGTGGAACTAGTGAGCTAACTTCTAACTCCGTTAAATTTAATAAATTTTGTTTTCATGGATGCTTGGATGTTGAACTTAATAGTTACACCTGATAAAGCATCAACGCTGTCGATTTTTGAGAAAATTAAAGGATTTTAAGTGTGGCTTATAGTGCAAGAAAAAAAAGTATGCCGGTTGTAGCCAACAGTCCTCCTGCACTTAGAGTTCACACTGGCCCTGTTTCCCAATCCATAAAACACTGTAAAACACATTTATTGATTTGTTGACCAGAACATTTCATATCCTAAATCGGAAAATCTAACACTGTGGCAACCCTAGAAAAGAAATGAATCAAAATTCTCTCATTTTAACAAATGTCTAGCTGGACATGCCGTCACCTCTCTAGGCACTCACTCACTGTCACCAGACCCTGCACATTTTTACATTTTGACAAGTGTTTCCTGAGCTGCTCCCGCTTGTTATTCTACTCTTTACAGAGTCAGGCATATCCAGCAACATTCAGGAAAGAATTGAGACACATGACCTGCAGGGCAGGAGAGAGATGAGTCAGTCACTTTGAGCTGACACTAGGTTGACCAGTTCCAGAAATGCTATGGACTTGGATTAAATTCACGCTGCTGACAACTGAGGCTTTGACACTACTGATGAACTACATGAAAACTTATTTTCCTTGCTGGGGGAAAAAAGAAAGCACTGAGCCTTGGATAATAATGTGGTTTTTGATTGACATCTGGAATTTGAGTTATTATTGCTCAGTCAGAAGCCAGGGTCGAGTGTTGTCCATCAGTGTGGGCTGTACTATATAGTGAATTCAGCCTAGCTATTAAGAATTCAGGCAAGGCCCTGTCAGTGTGGTGAATCAATATATTGTAGCGCTGATATTTTGTATTCACCTCTTATGCTCTTCTATTAATGCATTAGAATTGGTTTTTTGACGTGGAAAGATGTTCCAGGTGACTGCACTTAAAGTAATACATTTCGACTACACTGCAACATCCATCCATCCATCCATCCATAAGCAGAACACTGCAACATATGTGTTGTAATGTCTTCTGACAAAGTGAAACAGTGTTTAATGAGAGGGAGTTACTGTTTGTGTGAATTTGCTAGGGTGACGTTTTAGCCACCTGGAGGCTGGCAAAGCAAGAACAGCAACAACAACAAGGTTGCAGTCGGTTATCGGAGATGTGTTTTGTTGTCCGTGTGGTAGATTTCATAGTAACAACTGTGCTGGAAAGGAAACGTGTGGTTTAAGGCATATGTAACAGTAGCTGTTTTTTTTATAACCTCTGTTAGTGAATCCTGTGCACATGCTGGTCTGTGGCAAAGGATAGCACATTGTTAACCATGCCATATGTGTCTTTTACTTTCTTGTAATCATATTTTTCTTGTTATATTTCTGTTTTGTTCACATTCCCACTGTAACCACTTAGCAGTTGTCTGCAGTAATGAATCAAATGGCACTGTTGTTTTAATGGGAGCTATATGACGACTTCGCATGTGAAAACCTCGGAGTCGGTTTGACAATGTTTTTGTAAATCAGGCTCCTATGATGTTCAGTAAGTTCCCTTTAAGTGCAATGGAAAGGCTGTTAGTCACTGACTGAAAATGTCTAATTTTCCAAAAATGTAACAGAAGTCAGTTAAATAGTTTTTAAGAGAGTTAGCAGTCTTTTGCAGAAAAACCCTGTATGTCCTCTCTTTTTATTGTTTATTTTTTTTGGGGGGGGGCTACGAGTCCACATATTTGGGTAAGATGCAGGAAATGGTTGCAAAATCACAAAGAAATTCCAAAATTGAATTCTCTATGTCCGGTGGGACGTGATGAGAAATATTACAAAAGCAGAATTCAAAATGAAAACAATGAACAAACAGGGCTGCGTACAACCACATGCCATGACACATAACGACAGCACAATGCTTAATAACAGAATTAATGATAAACTGAAGATATTCTACGATAACTGGACCATGCACAGCATTCAAAATAAAATAAATAGAGAAATAAATACAGTAAATAAAGAAAATGTATATAAAATGTTGTTTGGACATGATGGTTGTCAGTCCTGCTCCATGCAATAGACTATAATGACCATACACTTGCATTACTCAAAGGTTCTTGAAACTGAAATATGAGCTAATGATGATGGTTCCTACTTCCTTCAAAAGTTTTTAGAGCAAGTTCCTACAAAAGATCAAAAGCACAAACTGTACGCTCCATGCTGTATTCTCATACCGTTTCCCCTAACATTAAAGCTCTGGACACAGCAGTCAGCAGCATTGCCATTCAGTGCAGACAGTGGTTACATTCGGCTTTGTAAGTTATCTGAACCATTTGGCCATCATTAATATGCAAAAGCCATCGGTAAACCTGCGTCTGTGTGTGTATGGCTTTGCTATCTAAGCTTTCGGCTACAAGTTCAGAAACTCTGCAGCTTAGTGTTTGTATAAGCTGCAATTTAGCTTGAAATTGGAAGCACTAAATGATCGACTTTAAAGCATTATCACTTCATACTTGTAATATTATGCGTGTACATTTGTACTTGTCGCTTGTACTCAGGTGTCTCTTGCAAAAAACCCCTCAGTGAATAAATAAAGCTTATCTGCTTTACTGCCCGACTAACTCGGGGCATAGCAAAAATGAATCATGGAAGAATAATCAAGATAGCATTGTTAAGACAAGAAAATATGAAGGCATGAAATGTTTCTTATTTGCAGACAGAATCAGAGTTGTGCATAGAGATGAAATTGTCACGCTATTGTTTTGTGCTTTGAACAGACAAATAGCATCTCACCTCGGAGGAAGGGTTCGATATATTGGCCCTTGCCTGCTAGACTAATATCTGGACAATCTCTGAGGTGTTGTTTGCACCCCCTCCCCCCAATCTTGTGGATTGTGTTCGGTATGTTTTATTGAGCGTGTGCATACATGTGCTTGTGTGTGTTTGTCTGTTTGCGCTGCCTTCTCATGATGAGGGAGAGGAAAAATGTTATCTTGCGGAGGCAATGTTTCTCTAGCCTCAGACAGGCAGAGGATTGGAGGATTAAGGTGCATTGATTTCTCCAACCCCTGGGACACAGATTGAAATGTGAGCCCTAGTTCAGACCTCTGCTTGCCCGCTAGCTACCATCCCATCCATCCCCTGCCTCTTAATACTCAGTTTCCCCACTCCTGTTTTCCTCACAGCCACATTTTGAACAGTAACAAGTGTCTGCTTTGGCCTGATAGCTCAGCATGCTTGCTTCCCCACTGCTCAAAGAAACTCTTCTGATAATACACGTACACAGGCAGATTTTGTTTTTCTTAATGGCAGCTCAGGATGCAAAGAATATTTTTGCTTTTAATTAATTAAATTATTTATTTATTGGCTGTGGTATTGAGTAATACAGCTGTGTCTGTAATGCAAACACTGCACCAAATTACTTTTTTCATGCATTGACACTTTAATAGTACATTGAAGCTCAGATGTATGTTTTTATGTCACGCTCTGTCTTTATCTTGTCTTCAATAGGAGATCACCAGCCTCCTGCCCTTCTCCAAAATCTCCCTGGATGACTTTTCTGACAACAAAGAGATCAGCAATGACCTCAACGCATATATCCAGTATCGTATCAACGGCAGCAAGGACATCATGAACAATATTAGCCTGAACGGCAAGGCCGATCCTATCACAGTCGGCAAGCTAAGTAGCCACCTGATCTCCCGCAGCCAAGGGTCCTACCTGTATCTCAAACTCACCCTGGATCTGTTTGAAAGAGGCCACCTCGTGATCAAAAGTGCCAGTTACAAAGTCGTGCCTGTTTCACTGGCAGAACTGTACCAGTTACAGTGTAACATGAAATTCATGACCAATTCAGCCTTTGAGCGCTCACTGCCGATCCTCAACGTATCGCTCGCCTCGCTGCACCCCCTGACTGACGAGCAGCTGTTCAACGCCATCAACGCGGGGTTCGTCCAGGGGGAGCTACAATGGGAGGACTTTCAGCAACGCATGGAGCTGCTCTCGTGCTTTCTCATCAAACGGAGGGACAAGACGCGCATGTTTTGTCACCCTTCCTTCAGAGAGTGGCTGGTGTGGAGAGCTGATGGAGAGAGTACGGACTTCCTTTGTGACCACAGGTCAGTTTTCTGCTAATGCAATAACTTCGCAGCTCTCAATTTGGTTTGCAGGCTTCTGTAATGCATTTAGAGTTTGCGTATATTTCAGTAATGCATTTAGAAAAGGTTCTTGAATTGCACAAATAGGCATGTAGGACAGTAAGAAAAGTACAACTAATGCTGCAGAATAATATGATAAACGTGTCTTCATGTGAATGAAGTTTTGCATCTCAGAGTGCTTCTGAATTAGTTGTTTTAGGTCTCTGACAGCTTTAATCATGCCTAAATTTGGTGTCCATCCTGTCGGTTGTCACAAAGTTCTTACCTAAAATGTTTAAAGCAGTGTCCTGCTTATTTCCGGTCCTCAATTTTAATGCAGGAGAGCAGAATTTAACGTGGGATATGTCTGCAGAAGGGAGAATAGCTGGCTCTGGATGTATTAGAGGCAGTAATTCAGTGTTTTTCTTCACATATCTGCGCAGAAATCGGTCCATAATAAACACTGCAGACTGCACCAAAGCTTCCATTTGTAAATAAACCCCTTTAGTCAGCAGTTTGCATACGCAGCCCTGCAACATCATAGATCAGATTTCAAGCAGGCTGTTTCACTTCTTCGAGTCGTCTTCTCTTGCTTAATGACTCCATTGCATAACATTTGTGAGAATGTGAGAATACAGCTGTGGAAGTGAAGCATGTTAGATTAATGCTCGAATCTTGCAACAATGACATTCAGGCTTCACTGAATGTAATTTGAGATTTTGCAGAAACATTAGACTCCCTGAAGTCCTGTTTGTTGGTGTCAGCTTGTTGCATGCCAAAGTCTTTCCTTTGTCTCGGAAAAAATACACACGGCATGCAGAAAAAAAATTGAGTGTAAAGTGATGTGATGATGTGAGCATTTACAGACACATCACAGCACTAAATTCATTAGCACAAGGCCTGTTTGCGACGTACAGCACATTCAAAAGGTCATCTCAGAATGCACCTTTGATACAGTGAAGCTGTTTGTAATAAAGCAGCACCTCTGCAGATAAATCCTGTGCTCTTTTGGAGCTGTCAGGATTCATCCGAGTTCAGATGCCTGACTGCAGACTTCACCCTCATATCAAACACATCGATTCTCCTTCCACTGCCTCTCCCCGGTCTGAATTATTCACATGTGCTGGTACCGTATTATAATTGTCAAATTTCAAATAACAAGCCGCACCAGCGTTGTTAGTGGATTACTCGCTCCCTCATCTGCTTGTTTGCAACCCACTAATTTGCGCTGCTGTTGGCAGCTTGCATTGGTCATCGGTAAAATGAACTGCTGCGTCTGTGCTCATGAATTTGTGCTTTGTTAGTAGATCACCCGCACAACTTTTGACTCCTGATCAGTGCTTTTTTTTTTTTGTTGTCTTGCAGCCTCACACTGATTTGCCCTGTTTTAATAAATGGTGCTTTTTGTGAGGGAGGGGGGGTACTGACCTATGCATTTTGCAGATATTGCATGTTGCAATGCGAGGCAGGCTTATCTCTTTTAGCAGTACTTGCAGTGCTTACCTAATTGAAATGCTGGAGCCACACGCAAATGAGAGATTTCAGTCATTCACACTTCATAAATTGAATGATGTCACTTTTTTCCTCCCTGTTGCTCACCTCTGCTCACACGGCGATGCCTCCAAACGGACGAGAGCTGAGCTTCGTATTCTGGTCATTCACAGCCTTCCAGCTCCATCATTAAAAAAACAAAGGCTTGTAGTCTGGCGCAGGAGATGCACAGAGAGACAAAAGCCTCCTGCACTGCCTCTCTGTTTGTGCCTGGGCACAACTAGAGAGGATTTTTATCCAGATCAAAGGGATTCGCAATCATGCATGCCTTTTTAATGAAGTTCTGCATTAATTAGTGCCTCAGTGACACTCTTCCCCCCTGTTGTTCAGAGGGTCATTGCCAAACATTTTTAGCTTATTCACACTAGCTCCAGAATACAATAGTTCTCCATGACAGTGCCAGGCTCCTCGTCATCAGCAGAATGAATCAGTACTTTCATGTCGTTTGAAGCAGAGGAACAATCATTCCTACTGTTGACGACTGAGTATCCTATCTGTTCCCTTGTTTTCTAACCCAGGACCGGTCACGCTCTCATGGCTTTCATGTTATTGCGCCAAGAGGGGAAACTGAATCGGCAGCAGACAATGGAGCTGGGACACCACATACTCAAAGCACACATCTTCAAGGTATAGATGTGGAACCTACGTGGTCTATGCATTCATCTTTATTTGAAATCCATCCCTTGCAGGAATTTCTTGGTGTTCACTTTCTCTTGATTTATGCACTGTGACAATGGTTCACCAGAGGATAAGCCGTGGGATGTGGAAAGCAACATTGACAGCTTATGCCCCTCAGATTTGCTGGTTTTTACATATGTGTGTTTGTGTATTTACTCATGCATTTATGCATCGGCGTGCGTGCAGGGTCTGAGCAAGAAGACAGGCGTGTCATCCAGTGTCCTTCAGGCTCTGTGGATAAACTGCAGCACTGACGGCCTTTCTGCAGCCCTGGCCTCCCTGAGGAACCTCTACACACCTAATGTCAAGGTAAGCCTTTGCTTCAGGTTTGCTCCTGCGCGTCTGTTGAATGCAGAACAATCGGCTTATTAGCTAACGATGAAAAAAACACATTATTGATAACCTGAAATGCCTAAATGCAACAGGTTGCTTTTGTTGAAATGCAAAGTATAAGCTTCTTGAGGGGATATAGGAAACCTTTAAACACTATATATTAAACACACAGTATATGTATCCAATTTTCAGCATTTTCATAACCCTTTTGTTACATTGGAGTAATATAATCATATACACTGGTTAGGTCATTTTAAAGCAAATGCATCTCAGAAATAACTGCAACTTTCTTTAGATTTTAGTTACACTTTTAATCCCCGAATGTTGCTCCACGCAGAGAATGTTTTATTAATAACCGCTGCCCTTTTATATTGTTAATGTGTCCAATTATAATTTGACAGGTAAATGTTAATAAGCTTCGCGCACGAGCCAACTTCCTGTGTACTGCTTTTCAGTCGTGTTTCGAAGGGCGATAATCATTTGGCCTTTCCTGGAAAGGCTGTTCTGCCAGCATGATGCATTCTGGCTCGAAGAAAAATTATCCTCCGTACTTCTTTGCCGTTAGTGTTATTGTTTCAGAGGGCGTTCCATCACCTGGTGTCTGTTTGTGAGTTATTGTATAAATGTGTAGTATTAGTCAAACAGACATTTACAAAATGACCTTATTCTCTCCTCTGGGGAGGGGTGGGGGGTTAATTATGCTACAGAGGATCCAGAAAATAACACACACTTTCATCTCCTGTCGTCAAACACTCATTTCACTCTTTGGTTTTGTTTGACTAGGCCTTTATTATTGATTTACTCGTAATGAAAGCGAATACCACACTTGATAATTGCATTCGCTAGAATGTGGCCGTTTCATTTGCCGTCTGAAAAATCTGAAGATGAGAATAAGAAGTTTGATCTCTGTATGAGCCATAAAATGAGTAATGGAAACAATTCTGCTGCTCAAACATGGGTGGTAGTTCACATTTTTAAGTGTATAATTTAGCCAATAAAGAGTAAAATAGTTAAACAGTCATCTCTTCTTAAGAGAATAACATTTATTTTTAATTCAGATTTCTTTCACCTTTAAGTACATGTGATAAAAAATTCACTTCTTTGCAAAGACCTTGAAATAAATATTCAAACGTGAATGCTTTTTGCATTTTTTATTTATTTTTTGCTTGTATGATCAGGTAAGCCGTCTCCTGATGCTGGGAGGGGCAAACGTGAATTACCGCACAGAAGTCCTGAACAACGCACCAGTGCTTTGCGTCCAGTGTCACCTTGGTCACCAGGAAATTGTCTCACTGCTGCTCGAGTTCGGCGCCAGCGTGGATGTTGTTTCAGAAAACGGCATGAGCCCCCTCTGCTTCTCAGCTGCTGCAGGACACTTGGGACAAGTCATGCTGCTCTGTAAAAAGGAGGCTAAGGTGAGGACTTTTCATATTGTGACTACTTGACAACTCTACTGATGTAGTTTTCTTGTGATCATAGACATTTGGTTTCATTTGGCCATCTTTCTGGATTTCTGGCTTTTTCATATGCAGGGTTTGTATGGGTGCTTGAAATCATTAAAAAAGGCTTGAATTTAAATATTGTCTTTTCAAGGTTTGAATAGTGCTTGAATTTTAGATGTGGTGCTTAAACGTGGTTGAAACCATATGTCATTCACCACAAATAATTGAATGAGTCACAAAGTGTGAAAGCAAAATTTCTCCATCTGGTCTGCCTTGCACCTCTGCGTGCCAGTCTGTTTCAATGTGTGACCCCGCCCTCCCCTGGGGATGAGTGCACTAACTTGACGTTGCTGTTTTAATGAGTGTTTGATGGAAAACGACACTGGTGGAATTTGCACTCTGAGTCACATGACAGGTGAGTCCTAGTAAATAATTTTCGAGTATGTGTACATAACACATGCTAATTTTAAAACTTTTATTATTATTTTGCTAGCTATCAAACGTTCTGGAGAAATGCACTGAGTGTGATAGTACAGTAGTTGGTTATGGCATGGTGATTTATGGTATATGCTGTAAACATAGCTAACATTACTTAGCAGTAGCAGTAATGTGAGTTACTTCACTCAAGTAAAAGCTTTAAACGTTAGTCTGATACTTAACTAGCCAACTTGAGGCTTAAGGGAATAATGGTAATAAGAGGGACTGATCCATATGGGCACAGAGAATAGCCACTTTTTGTGGTACTGAAGTTCCCGGGCTTTCATTCAAAATCTGTTTATCGTGAGCACCCACCCATTAAACATAAAAATTATAAATAGCTTCAAGCTATTTCAAGCTATTGATGCCTGTGGGCACTATCAGCCACTGAGACAACAGACAAATTTTAGTGTTTTAATGAATGAATATTTCAGACATTAAGGCTGCCTGTTTATTTAAGAGAGGTGAACAATACATTATAATTATACATAATAATATCACAGATGATAGACTAAATAAATAGATTTTACTTAGATGCTTGTTCATTCTTAAAGTCTTATATGTTGAATTGAACTGAATGTCATCTGTTCAAAGGCTCTCCCAGTCAGTGCTGTTCTCCATGCCTGTCTTACTGTACATGATGTTATTAGCACAAACACTTTAAAAGTTACTGTGACTCAAACATAGAAAAATAGATTTTTTATTTCCCTCACCTAATATTTAAAAGTATTTTATAGCATATAACACCTTTGAAAATATGCTTTGGTTCACATTTAACTCCAGAAAATCATAAATCAAAATAGGGATATTACCTGTCCACAGATTCATGGTGCAGTAACTGCTCTTTTAACTGTCTGGTGTCTTTGCTTTGTTTGGTGTTTGTAGACATGGTTTACATGAGTTTTTAGCTGAGATTCAGAGGTTTCTGTGGACACTACTCATGTCAGCACTTATATTTCTGACCTCGTGTTATAATCGATTAAACGTGATCTCCTCCCTTTTGCCCCCATTTTTGATGTTGTGGGTGCAAATGATCAGGCGTGACATTCTCATAATAAATCAGATAAAATACTGCAAAGAATTAATCCTGCGTTTGTGTGATTGAAATGTGTGTGCAGTGACACTGTTTAAAGATTTGGCCTAAATAATTCTGGAGTGAATGAGCCTAAACATGATGACCGGACTAATGACACCATATCACCTGTGACACACACACACGCACGTATGACTTTGCCAGTTTCAGCTGAAACAATTTCAGTGTTTCAAACCATGTTCCAGAGATTTTAGTTCACCGTTCATGAGGTTTCAAGAAGAAAATGAAAGACAGATCTGAATGTTTGAAAGTGTTTTGGAAAAACTCTGTAAAGATTAGATGAACAATACTCAAAGGATAAATTCAACTGTTTTATTTTGTTAGATAGGTTGAAAAAAAAGTTAAACAAGCAAGTAAATAACGAAACAAGGTTAAATGAGGTAAGAGCAAAAAGTTAACAAGTAAATAACGAAACAAGGTTAAATGAAGTAAGAGCAAAAAGTTAACAAGTAAATAACGAAACAAGGTTAAATGAGGTAAGAGCAAAAGTTAACAAGTAAATAAAGAAACAAGGTAAAACGAAGTAAGTTCAAAAAGTTAACAAGTAAATAACGAAACAAGGTTAAATGAAGTAAGAGCAAAAAGTTAACAAGTAAATAACGAAACAAGGTAGAGGAGAGAAAACCCCAACAATCCCCTCTGAGCAAGCACTAGGCGACAGTGGGGAGGAAAAACTGCCTTTAAACGGGCAGAAATCTCCGGCAGAACCAGGCTCAGGAGGGGGCAGTCAACTGCCGGGACTGGTTGGGGGGGTGAACAGAGGTGGAGCAAGACGAGGCTACATCAGTTGAAGAAGCAGTATTGTCCCTCTACCGGAAAAAGCTGAAGAATCTTTTCTTCTTTTTCATGGACTTTTCCACGAGCGCCTTTTTGTCCAGGATGAGGGTTCTCAACTCATGGATGGTTTCTGTGTTTTGCCTCTCTAGTTTCTTGCATGTTTGTTCCACCTGTTCTAATGTTGCTTGTGTTTCTTCAAGCTTTTCTTTGAGGTCTTTGGATGTTGCCTCCTGTGTCAGCTTTGCCTTCTGCAGGTCTGCATTTCTCACTTGATCTTCTTTGTGCAGGCCTTCTAGCTGCTCATTTCTTTTCTGGATATCGCGGAGCGTACACTGCAGGTCCTCATGCGTTTTGTCTTGTTTTTGCTTTTGGGCCTGCATTTCTGTGTTTTCCCGCTTCAAGTTGTTGAATTCCAACAATATCCCCTTAATGAGCTCTGAGTTGTTTTTGGCCATGTGATCAATCTTTTTCTGCATGTGTGAGCATCGTTTTTCTAGTGTTTCCTTTTCTCCCTCCAGCTCACTTGTTTTGACCTTCAGTTCATCACAGAATCCTTGCAACTTTTGATTTTTACTCTCAAAGTCCTTGATAATGCACTTTTCTTCTGGCAGTTTTTCTTTCTGTTGCTCTTTCTCTTGAAGGAGGTCTTTATTTTGGACCAATGTTTGTTCCAACTCTGCCTTCACCATTCTGTACTTTTCCTGCATGCCTTGGAGCTCGCGCTGCAGGTCTTTTTGCTTTGTGTCCTGTTGTTCCTTCTGTTGGAGGACTTCTTTATTTTTTTCTTCAGCTTCATCAAGCTTTCTTTGGAGCAGGTGATTCATTTGGTCCATGTATTGCAGATCCCACTCCATTTTATCAATCGTCGCTTTCCTGCCTTGAAGCTGCTCGGACATTTCTTTAACTTCAGCGCTCTTTTTCTTGTTTTCTTTGATGAGGGATACAATCTGCTCTCTGGCTTGAGCAAACTTGATCCCCCAGCCCTCATTAATAATGTTGATGTCGGGCTGGCGCTGTAGTGTTTCTTCCAGGTGTTTGTTTTGTGCTTCCATCTGTAAGCACTTCTTCTCCAGGTGACGTTTTTCTTCTTCAATTTGTCGAATTTTGTTCTGGAGATGGTTGTTTTCATTCCTACTCTCCTGTAATGCCCTTTGGATGGATAAGAGGCCATTTGGAGAAATTGGCCGGCCACGCGTGGAAGGAGAGGCGGCGAAATCTTTTTGTCTCGGTTGCCGTAATCTTGGATACATGTTGGCGTTTGTATCCGATGACTCTGAGAGGTTTCCAAATTTTTCTGTAGTGAACGTTTGAAGGCTGCAAACACAAAGGCTGCGAAGAAACGAACTGAAAATTGCTGTTTCTCACCCCTATTTATAGAAAAACTTCAAAGGATCCTTGTGACATCCTTGTGACATCATCACTCCTAAGCCAATCAGATTGTCACATGCACTGCAAAAACTCAAAATCTTACCAAGTAGGTTGGAGAGACAAAACCTGCAGCTCAGAATCAGCGCAAGAAGACGTAATCGCAGCGCGGACCGGACGCATCAGGATCGCTAAGCTCCGACAGCGTGTCCGTCTACGAGCTGTCGGGTGAGAAAGCCGAGAAAGACAAAGTTGATTCTGATGCGTCGGGTCCGTTCTGTGTTTACGTGTTTGTGTGGAATCAGTGTACCTGCTCTCATTTACACGGATTCGCATTTGCGACCAAATTGGTTGCACTCTAGAGCCCTGTTACTTGATGAAAGTTGGTTTTGCAGAGTTAATCTTGCAGCTCAGCCACAGCATAGCCCTCAGCAACCAAGAGCATGCTAGCGGGCCGTTGTTATTATGTTATTACTGTGCTTTTCGGAAAATGAGGCACTCTAAAAATCAGTCCTTTGATTTTTCTGGAAATCGACAGTGCTCCTTATAATCCGGTTTGCCTTATGTCTCTACCAGCTTTGCACATCTACAGACTGAAATCTTTGCCCATTCTTCTTTGCAAAACAGCTCCAGCTCAGTCAGATTAGATGGGCAGCGTTTGTGAACAGCAGTTTTCAGATTTTGCCACAGATTCTTGATTGGATTTAGATCTGGACTTTGACTGGGCCACTCTAACACATGGACATGTTTTGTTTTAAACCACTCCATTGTTGCCCTGGCTTTATGTTTAGGGTCGTTGTCCTGCTGGAAGGTGAACCTCCGCCCCAGTCTCAAGTCTTTTGCAGACTCCAAGAGGTTTTCTTCCAAGATCGCCCTGTATTTGGCTCCATCCATCTTCCCATCAACTCTGACCAGCTTCCCTGTCCCTGCTGAAGAGAAGCACCCCCAGAGCATGATGCTACCACCACCATTTTTGACAGTGGGGCTGGTGTGTTCAGAGTCATGTGCAGTGTTAGTTTTCCACACAGAGCATTTTGCATTTTGGTCTCATCTGACCAGAGCACCTTCTTCCACATGTTTGCTGTGTCCCCCACATGGCTTGTGGCAAACTGCAAACGGGACTTCTTATGGTTTCTGTTAACAATGGCTTTCTTCTTGCCACTCTTCCATAAAGGCCAACTTTGTGCAGTGCACGACTAATAGTTGTCCTATGGACAGATTCCCCCACCTGAGCTGTGGATCTCTGCAGCTCGTCCAGAGT